CAAGGAACTAAGCAGAAAGAACTCCTGCCCGCAGGAAGTTAGAGCAGTGGCTGCCACCCTTCCTATTGGCTGGCATACCATATTCTAAAGAAAAACCACATTTGAGTGATTAAAATGTTAACTGCTAAATAGTCTTTCTTTAGATTTGTAGAACCCAGAGCTGGGGTGACCTTTAGATAGTATTGGGACATGTGACTTCCCTCCTTAGTCTTTAATTCTGTGCTCAACTAGCACAAAGTGTGTAAATGGTTGTGGTTTAACTTACAGAAAAATAATGTGTTGTATTTAGCTGAGACACATGCCCTGGGTGATGTAAACCCCATTCAGCCCTTAGTCTTCTGCCCATTGCCCCCTTGCCCTTTCTTTTCCTCCCTAGAAAGTCCCCGTGTGGCCCTGAGTTCCCTAAGATGGGGCTTTGGAAACATCTTCTCGGGGCTGGCCATTAAACACACCTGATTTCCTCCCTACCAACTCTCACTCCTGAGCACAGTATTGCCTTTCAAGGAGCAAGCAGCTGACCTGGGTCTGCTCCAAAGCCAGTTCTAGTATGAGTACTGTGGCATACTGTTTTCCAGAGGTGGCTACCCTGGCATGAGACCTCCCCAGATGTTCTCCTTACCATGTGACACTGACACTCTTCTCACAAGAGGTGAGGTGTGCATTCCCTGTCCTTACAATTGGTGCAGCTTCAGAACTTCTTTGTTTGTTTGTTTGTTTTTTGAGACAGGGTCTCACTGTGCAGTTCAGGCTGGCCTTGAGCTCACTTTGTAGCCCAGGCTGGTCTTGAACTTGCATTGATCCTTCTGCCTCAACCTCCCGAGTGCTGGGATTACAGGTGTGCACCACCATGCCCGGCAGCTTCAGAGCTTTGACCATGGGTGTGTGGTTGTCCTAAAGCTGCAAGCTCTACTGATGCAGCAGAAATTAACTATCCCTTCTGAGCCCTGCCCAGACAGCAGATTTGTGGGTCATGCAAATGTTGTTTTAAGCAACCAAGTTTTGAGATGATTTATTATGCAGCCATAGTAATTAAAACAGGGACAGGCAAATGATAAATAAGATAAATGAGCAAACAAGATAGCTAATTGTAAGGGATAAAGAGAGGGGGAAAGTGCAGAGAAGGGAGATATAACATGCCCAAGTAGGGTTGAAATTTTATTGAGGGTGATTAGGGAGTGATTCATCGGGAAGGCAGTCTGTGAGGAAAGACCTACAGGAAGCGAGGTCTCTGACCTCGTGGGTCATTCCAGGCACACAGAAGCAAGAGCATGCTTCACGTGTGGCTGGAGATGGTAGGCAATAAGGTCTGAGAGCAAACCCAGAGCCAGATTATATCAGAGCTGTAGGCCTCTGTAAGGATTTTCACTTTTACTGTGAGTGAGATGGGATCACAGTGGATTTTGATATAGGTATGACACAATTAAACAAATTTTTTTTGGTGTTAGGGATCAAATTCAGGGCCTCAGGCAGCCTACGCAAGCACCATAACACTGAGCTACATTCCAAGCCCACGATTCTGCTTTAATCATATCAAATTCTTGCATTGGTATTTCTAGAAGTGAAATTCTGAGTCAAGCTATGCACCCTTTGATTATGTTGCTACTGCCTATATTACTTTCTTGGGGCTGCAGCAACAAAGTACCACAAACTGGGTGACTTAAAATAGTAGAAATTTATCAAATCACAGTTCTGGAGGCTAGAAGATTAAAATCAAATTATTAGCCGAGCTGAGTGCCTCTGAAACCTGTAGAGGAGAATTTTTTCTTGGAGGTGAGAGATATGTGCTGGTGGAGGTCTTCAATCCTCAGCATTCTTTGCCTGCAGCCCCCTCACTCAAAACTCTGCCTCTGTCACCACATGGTTTTCTCTCTGTTTGCCTTCTCACAGCCACCTTCTTGTGAGGACACCTGTCAGACTGTCCACCCTCATCCAGATGACCTCCTTTTATCCTAGCTATTCCTACAGTGATCTGTTTCCAAGTAACTTCACATTTTGAAGCACTAGGAATTAGGACTTCAACATATCTTTTGCGGGATACAGTTCAACCTTTAATGCTACAGTTTTTAAGAATGATAGATCTGTTCCTCAGAGGGAAGACTTGCCTGTGCCTTACAATAGCACCTTATGCTAGTTAGCCTTCCTACTGCACACATATGTGCACACACGTATGCATGCACATGCCCGATCCGTGTGCCATGGATGGAGTTCATTCTTTGTGAGTATGTACAAGTTGACCTGATCCTTTGTTATTATGACATAGTGGTTTCATAATAGTGATGTCCTCTAAACATTTTTATAGGTAGACATAAAGGTTATTTTCATTTTTGGCGGCTACTACAAATGTAACATTTGGTGAAATTCTTAATAGTTAATATAAAAATTTCTTCATGGGAAGACATTACTTTTGTTAGAAATAAGATGTTGCTGAGTGGCCTCAAGTTAGGTCAGTATCGTGTGTGTAATAAATGAGGGAGTGGAAGGAGAGTGCTTGGATTCTCTGGGGTTGGACTCATGTAGGAGGTAGCGCCAAGAGGGGCACTCTGAGAAGCACACGGCTGACAGGAAATCATCCTGAGTTAAGTGATGAGCAGTAAATGAACACAGACTCAATTTTCTTCCCTCTGAAGTACCAGGGAGATGCTTCCTTGCTCATTAATATTTTCAGTGAGAGCAGAATTCCATTGGAATTCACAAGTGATGCTGGATTTGTGTCAGTGTAGCTGAGATGTGGGTGACATACATCTGGATTCCACATGCCATGTACAACTAAACATCTATGTACACGTGTCTTTAAGCTCATGATAATGGGAGCCAGGAAGTGGAACTTGTCCAGTGATACGGGCCATTGTGCTGTTGGTACCATGGTGAAATGGGAGCTTGGCTGTAGCTGTTGGCACTCCTGTTCTTGGACAATGGGGACAGCTGCCCAAGGGGAAGAGAGTAGGTTAGGAACTGAAAGCAGCCCTGAAGAGGCCTCTGAGGAAGGGCTTGCTGAGTACTGGCTCCGGAGAAGCATACTGAGATAACCTGCTGAAAAGCAAAGCGGGGATGGAGGGGCAGGGGTGGGGTGTGGTGATAGTGGTGATGGTGGTGGTGCTAGTGTTGCTCACCCAGCTATAGGGGAGTTCTACTTGGATGGGAGTTCTGACTCCTCAGAGCAGGGGAGGGAAAGGCAGGTGTTAAGGAAGCACTAAAGTCTACTTAAAACGGGGCTTCAGGGAGGTGAGGGTCACAATGCAGGGAGCACAGTGTAGCCCAGGTTTTGAAGTAAGGGTTCCAAAGAGTTGTGAAGCGTTAACAGTCACTTTCATGCTATCTATTGAAAGTTAAGCATTTTAAAATAGGTCTTCCTGGACAAGAGATTCTTGAAATGGAATTTTAATGTCACCTTAGTGAAGATAAGAAGCTATGTGGGTGTGGATGGTTTCAGTTCTCAGACCTACTTTTGAAGATCTTCCCCTTTGGGTTTTGGGGAAAGCCTCATTTAGAAGGTTTCATTTCTCCCCAGGTAAACTTTAACTCAGCTTTAATGTTGTCTCTACCCTTCAGAAAAAGATTTATTGCACCCTTCTGACTGGGAAGAGGGGCCTCATTTCTACAAGAGACTGAGTGGTTAGACTGAGTTGGTCAGAAGCCTGAGACATCCATTAAACCACATATTATGAGCGTGCATGTTTGAACCCTTGTGTTAGTATGCTGTCTCAGGAAATGAGACTTCATGATTTTAGTTCATTTCCCTGCAAACAGGAGCAGTCGGGTCTTTCCTCCTGCCTTGCACTGGGCAGAGCCTGGGAAGGACTTTCTAAGAAAAGTTCAGACTTATTCACACTCCCAGATCCAGCTTCTTGTCTGTGTGGTGGTGGGCTCAACAGACTCTAATCTATTTGAATATATTTAGATTCAGAGGCAGGAAGAGGAAAATTTCCCATGCTTCCATATTCCAGCATCACTCAGAAGGGAAGCCCTACATTGAGGGCTTGAGTCCATACTGTGTAAGTATACTCGGTCTCTCTCTCCAGAACACCTTCCCTCTTTCCCCACCCTTCCTGGTGTATGGGGAAGCTGACCCTTATGGTACCAGTTTGCTCTTTTGGAGCCCTGTTCAACTAATAGGAAGCATAGGCCAGAGATCTGAGATTGGGGGAGGAGTGAGGCTGGGGGTTGGGTATCCCTTTAGTTTCCTCCCTCTTGGTCTCTGGTCTGATCAAATCCTGAAATCAAATGTCACAGCTCCTGTCAAGTCATGCTCTACAGAGTCATGCTCTACAGAGGTCTCTCCTTGTAGAGAGTAACACTTTTCTCCTCTCTGAGTGGAAAGAGCTACAATAGCCTCAAGATAACTGTGGTATTGCTTGTGATTTCCCTGTGCTTTGTTCACATTTTTTGTAAATAGTTTTCCTTTTATTAAATTATACTAAAATGATCCAACAAGAGGGTGCTATTTCTTGCCTGTTGGGTGCTGACCAATAGAGGGCTTTGCTGAGTTGTTAGTATATGGCTGATCTTTTGCTTCCCATTTGGTCAAAGTTCGATGATGTGTAGCAAGTGTTTGATAAATATTTGTTGAATGAATGAATAAAGACTGCATCAGTGAGTTGTGGGATTTAAACTCCATCTCTCTCTCTACAAACATCCAGTATAGAGTTGAACGAACATGTCCATGTAAAGTATATGTGCTTGGTGGGCTCTGAGAGCAATGTTATAGGCATAAATGCTGGGACCTCCGCTTCCCTGAATTTGCATTAGTGTCTTGTGTCCAGGTTTCTCCTCCTCAGAGGAGCAGTGTGCAGCAATGCGGGGAGTATCTTAAACACATGGAAATGAGAAAAATGGGACGCCCACCTCCTGCAAGTATGGCGGTTTCTTCAACTTGGGAACAAAGAATAAGTCCAGACTGTGAAATAAGAAATGCACATTGACAAATTTCATTTGTTTGTGTTATTTTTTGTGTGTGTATTCTTAAAGGAACCACACTGAATGAACTCAAGTTAAGCTACCAGTTTTGAATTTACAAATTTTATGTGACATTTATTATAATTAATATTGTGCTAAGCGTGATAATATTATGAGGTAAATTTGATAAAAGTGTACCTAGGGTTACTATCAGTTTTATAACTGCTGGTTGTAAAGTGATTCATAACATTTATTATAATTACAGTTCCACTGTGCAAGTGTTAGAAGAACTCCTTCCAATTGTGAGAGGTACCCCAGGACTTAGATGTTGTCGGGAACAATTTAATTTTTCCTCTGGGAAGATGGAAGATACCTTCAAGGGTAGAGCTCAGAGAAATACTAGGCAGAACATTTGCAAGATCCTTCAAAATGTCCAACTTCAAGGGAGTTTTTAGTTGCTTATCACTTTGTCCCAGTTAAAGTATCTTGTTGCAAGAAATTCCATGATCTTCCTCCCTGGATTTATTATCAAGAATTGGCCCCAAATTGAGCCATCATAGTACATTTCCGCTTGACGCAGAGCTGTCCCTTTGATGATCTCCAGGGCACATTCCTCCTTTGGAGCTGCATGTGCTGAATATATCCCAGAAGTTGCCTTCAAGGCTGCATCTGTAAATGACCACAGAAGAGTTGGGTCTGTGATGGAAGACCTGCAGATACTACACTTAATTGTTAGGGCTGCTTCCAATGCGTGGGCCTCACAAACCCTGGAGGGAGTGTATAAAGGGCTGGCTATGTTTAGAGCCTGTTGGGCAGAGCCTGTTGGGCAAAGAGAGGGGCCTTGAGACTAATAGGAATGGGGGACTTGCCTGTGTGGATGGAGATTTGTGGTGGAATGTAAAGTGAGTAGTTGGGATAGCTGAATCACGTGCCTTGTTTGGGTATTTTATGTGTGTGTGGGTGTGTGTGGGGTTGAGGACAGAAGTCATGTGATGTCCTGATGGCCAATGGGAGGCATGAGTGGGGAAAAAACCAGAGTGCTGTATAATAACAACCTATTGACTTGTAAAACCAAAGATGCAACTCAGGCTTTTGGCCCATTCTTTCACTAGAAAGAAACTACTGTTGGCTCTTTGTCCTTCCAAGTTTTCTTGTCCTTTTCATATTGTACAGCTTCCTCTTCTTTCCTTTTCTTTACTCTGTGCCTTTGCCTATCTCACTGTCTAACTACGATTCAATTACTTTTGTTTTTGTCTTTTTGAGGCAGGGTTTTGCTATGCAGCCCAGGTTGGCCTTGAACTCACTTTGTAGCCCAGGTTGGCCTTGAACTTGCAGCAGTCCTTCTGCCTCAGCCTTCTGAGTGCTGGGATTACTCAGTTACTCTTTTTTTTTTTTTTTGGTTTTTCTCCCGTACCGGGAACCGAACTCACGACCTTGCGCTTGCCAGGCAGGCGCTTTTGCCGCTGAGCTAAATCCCCAGCCCCTACTCAGTTACTCTTTAAATAAAACTTCTTATAATATCTACTACATGTTTTGAGAAAACCTGTAAAAACTGTTCAAAATGTTCTCTACATACTTTACTGTATTTCCCCTGATGCAATGATCAAGAAGTATAATAGAATTAGCTAAATTATAAAACTGATTTTTCTCTAATGTTCTTGTAGTTTGGGGTTTTGCAAGGGGAACAATACAGGACATATAATTTATAAGGTTATTGTATAATAGTTACCCAAGATTCATATACAAAGAGAGTACAGGAAATCTGTCCACACACTAAGACCAAAGAATCTGGCTGAAGGCCTGGATCCCATGGCAATGTCCTGCACAAGTTCAGCTGAAGACCTAGAGCCCATCACAATGCCCCCGCCACAAGTCCACGACAACATCTCACACAGGCCTGTTTCATGGATCTGTGCTAACAGGCTGAAGGATCTGCACTGGAGCCAGGAAGCAATGCTCAAAGTAAAAACCAGAGCTCCTCTGAAAAGCACTACAGCCATCCTTAGCAACAGTGAGGTCCCCAGCTCCCCCGATGATGAGAACAGCCAAGTCTGCATCAGGAAAGCCAGTGCAACAAGCCCCCCCCCCCCCGACATTGAACAGTGCACTGTCCTCTCCTCTGGAGCGAGGAAGTGATGCTGAAAAGACTAGAGCTTCCCCAAAGTGAACTGCAGCCATTCGTGGTGACAACAAGGTCCCGAGCTCCTCCTCTGATTAGAACAGCAGAGTTCATCAGGAAAGACAAGCTCCCCAGGATAACCAACAGTTCAAGAGAACCAACAGCTTCTCTTCTTATTCTCTAGTTCTACCTCTTATGCTGCCAGCAACAATCCTCAGGTGGGCCCCCCACACCCAGCCCCACATTGGTTCAGTTTAGCTGGGTGTTACAAGCTGACCATCAGTTGTCAACCCACCACAGTCAGTCCTATTTATGTTCTAAGATCATATCCAAGATTGCACTTAGAAGTAATCTCTTATTTTTTCTTCAGTCTGTGACAGTATTTGTCTTTCCTTGCCTCTCATGGCCTTGACACTTTGAAGGCTACTGATCAGTTGTTTTAAGGAATGTTCCTCAAGTTCAGCTTGTCCATTATTATTTTGTGGTTGGGGTACATTTTTGGCAAGACTACCACAAAAATGATATTGTCTTTCTCAGAACTTATCTAAGGGCTTATATCAGTATGTCTTATTGCTATTGATATTATTAAGAAAAATACATATGCATTTGATAAGTCTCTTACAGAAAAATAATGGCCATGGAGAGTCCTTGAAGACATAAGGTGTATAGAGAAGAACAAGGTGATGAATGTAGTTTCACTCAGCAGACCTACCTGGTGGTTGTCATGGAAAAGGGGGTCAGAGAGTGGCAAGAAATTCCACCAGTGGTAGGAGCGCTTTGTTAGAGGAGGGTGCTCGTGCTCGCAGTCTTGGCACTGGGCCTGACTCCTGAGTCGGGAGAGCAGCCTCCTCTTTACCCATTGTGGCTGGCAGGCCATCCTGGAGGGCACTTTCTCCCACGCCTTAAGCTTACCTGTGTCTATGAGGCCGAGGACACACAGAGTGACTGACACATTGGCTCTAGTCACTAACAACTCCTCCCTAATGGACGAGAAGAATCCATCCAGAGCAAACTTGCTTGCAGAGTAGGGCGCAATCAGAGGATAAGCTACTTTCCCTAAATGATAGATTGAAGAAACAGGTTAACAAGGTATTCCATTTCAGCTTATGAGAGAGCTATGTATATTGCTTTGCAGCAAGCTTTCTAGCACCCTGTGGAGTCTGTTTGCCTCTGAGTTTTATTTTCTCACTATTCCCTAAGTTATCCTTCAGTTATCTGATGTGAAAAACATCAAGGTATCAAAAATAGGGTGGAGTGGGCTGTAAGACAGATTTCCTTGGAGGAGCACTGGGTAGATTGCTAGTGAGCATGGTGAAGAGGCTGGGCTGCTGGAGCCATGCAACCCCGCACTGCTGAGTCTTCCACTTCCCAAGAGTTTAACCAGCGCCTTCTACCCACTCCACAACCTGTCACTGAGAATGGAAAGGGGATGTTTTACTTTTACACAAGGAGTACTAAAAATCCCTATTTTTGATTTTTACACAGATTTAACCGCACTAACCTGACTGATTTTCACTTCAGATTTTGGAGAATATGTGGACACGTGTAAATAGGATAACCTATCCTTTATGCGCTTTCTGATAGGAGAGAATAGAAGTGAGCTGAGACCTCACAATATTTTCTGAGCCTAGTTGGAACAGTTGCTTTCAAATCCCTGTCTGCTTTAAAATCTGGGTAGTCTTAAGACTGATTTCCGTTGATCACCTCCCTCCCATAGGTCATGTTTCCTCTTCCTGTATGCATTGCCGTCCTGTATGTGTTCTGTACCCTGGATATTCCGAATAAACATTATAGCATCTCTGAATTTTGCCAAATTCCCTCCGAGTCTTGACTTTTCAAGTGGGCAGTTAACTTGGATGAAACTCTTTGTCTCTTGTAGAGGGCACCAACTGGAATCTCTGTTCCATTATTTGCATCTTAACGTGGCTGCTTGTTGTCTGCGTTGCCCCTGAGTAGTTCAGGAACAACAGAGATTTGGAATGAGATACAGGATCCAGGGCTTCCTCTGTTTTTCCCAAAATAAGACCTAACTGGAAAATAATCAGCTGGAAAACTAGAGATAAAAAATGCCAGTCCCACTGAGCCTATCCATGCCTTTCTCACCTTACAGAGCAACCATGGAGGAAGAGAATAGTGCTGGCAGGGAGGCGAGCCCAGGCTGACTGGGGCCGGCATTATTGTCTCTAGCTTTTAAGGCTGATTATTTTCCAGTTAAGTCTTATTTTGGGGGAAGCAGGGTGCTATGGCTCTTTCCTTTCGAGGATCCTTCCCTTTCTGTTCCAGCTGCCATCACCATCCAAACCCCTTCTTCCTGGTGCTTCAATCTAGTCAAAATGTAGGTTTCTATTTCAGATATGGCACTGATTGGGTTACTTCTAGGTGTAAAGCTATAAAACTGGGAAACTTTCCTACTGTCCTCTCTTTCTTCCAAGTGTTAATAACACTCTAATTTCTGTCTGTTTTTTATTACTTGCCAGTGATTTCAATGGTTGTGTTTTATATTTTGTCCAAAGTTTATAGTTATTATCTGGGGAGCACTGGTCTTTCAGTGCCTTTTCACCATTACTGAAATTGGAATTCTTATGTTTTTAAATGTAATGTAAATGTGTGCTAAATTAGTGAAGAAAGGAGTGCTTACTTAATACAGATGTTGGGAAAGTTGTTTAGCTAACTGAAAAGAATTCTTTGTCTTATAATATGTATCAAAATTTCTAGATGAAAAATTATGGTGGTATCCCTGACCCAGTATCTCTTCCCTTTTCATTAATAACGAAACTGAGTCCTTCAGGACAGCCGTGTACTCAGATGCAAACACTCATCCCCTCAAGATTGCCTTGCTTTGGTGGTCACATGTTATAATTGTGGCCAATGCTAAGTTTAACAACTGGGTTTTAATTGCTGTTGTGGATTTTGAACCGAAAGGTCATCTAAGGTTGGGAATGGGGCATTTGTTTCTACCATGGTAATGGATAAATCAGCAGAGACAACTATCCTGCAGAAATAAGAAGGAAGGTGGGGCAAACATAACCACCAGAGTTGGTGCTCAATAGGAGCTAACATATTTTGAGTGCCTATGTATCAGTCTAAAGTCTGAAGGCTAACTCATTGCTCAAAGTTGCAAGGTTAATAAATGGGAAGACCAAGATTCAAGTTTGGCTGTGGTGGCCCATGCTTTCAAACCCTAGGTGGCATTTCCTCTACAAAAGCCACTGTTCTTTCCATGACTATTTTCTAGGAGCCATGTGTCTAAGCCAGTTATTCCACTGTGGGTGAAGTTTCTCTCTGGTTTGACAGTGAATCCCAAAAGAGGTAAAATTTATAAAAATGGTGTTACTTTTCCTTTTGGACTGACAAGGGAGGCCTCCCATGGGTGAGCAGGCTAAGTCAGTGCTGGTTCCTGTATATATGTTTCCTGTGGCTGCTCTAACAAATCACCTGGACTTGATAGCTTAAGACAACAGAAATTCATCCTGTCATTGTTCTGCAGCTGCAAGTCCAAAACCATCAGCGTGACCATGCTGCCTCTGAGAGCTCCAGGGGAGAACCCTCCCTTGCCTCTTCCAGTTTCTCATGGCTGTGGCCATCCCTGGTGTTCCTTCACTAGATGCGTCCTTCCGACCTCTTGCTCTATCTTTACATCCCTTCCTCTGTGCCTTCTCTTCTGTCTTTTGCCCTTCCTATGAGGACACTTGCTATTGGATTTTAGCCCACTCAGATATTCCATGATGATTTCATCTTGAGACCTCAATTACATCCACAAAGACCCTTGTTCACTTGAGGTCGTTCACAGGTTCCAGGTGGACATCTCTCGGGGTACACTTTTTTAGCCTACTCTGTCCTACTGAGTGATGATAAGATATTGGTTGTTGCATTAATATGTTTGGGACAACAGAGATACAGAAGCACGAGACCATCAGAAGTTACAGTCTGAATTATGCCAGTAGGAATTATGCCACTCACGGAGCCAGTACATCTCACTGCCTTCCTTAATTAAAACTTAAGTTATACTCAGGGTATAAAGAAGGATCTGAACTGGATTTTTTTAGGATAAAAGGGGAGGTAGAAAGGGAAAGAAGAAGAAAGAAGAGAGATTAGAAATGAGCCAAGCATAGCTGAAGATGTCCTAAAATATTCATGGCATAGATGCAACACTTAAAAGATATTTTAAAATAGTAAAAAAAAAAATGAATTACTAGGCAAGGGTCCAGACTAGATGAAGATTCTTGAAAAATTATTAGCCTTTCTTATGAAGTTTATGTCTGAGGTACACTGTAATGTAACTACCTATTATTATTATTATTATTATTATTATTTTTTTTTTGGTTTTTCTCCGGTACCGGGAACCGAACTCATGACCTTGAGCTTGCCAGGCAGGCACTTTTCTGCTGAGCTAAATCCCCAGCCCCGTAACTACCTATTATTGTCATTAATACTCATTACAGCCATATTTCATCTCTCAAATTTCATGGCCTGCACTGGTCTATGTACCTGTAAATTTAGTGCTCATAAGGACCCCCTGTAGAACCTGTTAGTCTGTGTTCTGGAGTGAAGGGCCATCCTGGAGGGTTTTGAGGAGGTAGGAAAGGCATGTTGGTATAAGCTTGTTGAACTCTCAAAGGAAAAAGGGAGGAAAAGTCTTTGGAGGAGATTAAAGTCCTACAGTGACAGCGGGGTGAGCAGCCACTGAATTAACAGTTACTAAGTCTCTTCAAAGCCCACACTGATATCACTTGGAAAAACGTGTGTACAAATGTAAATTGGCTCTTGGGGAGAAGGACACTGAGCTGACAGAGAAAGCCCACCTGCAAGATGTAGGTTTTAGCGCACCCTGATGACAGGCAGTGACAAGAGGCCCAGAGTGGAGATGGAGGTACAAAGGCAGCGGGCAGGAACAATTGAAGCAGTGAGAAACAAGCGGGACAAGAAAAATAACAGCTAAGTTCATGATATTTTTCCTTTACAAAAGTACTTATCTAAAACCCTTAGGGCTGGATGTGTTATAAAATTCAAAATGGATTTTTGGATTTTAGAAGGTAATACGGGGTATACACTATATATTACAAAAGGAGGCATCCTAGCCACGTGTGGTGGCATACTCCTATAATCCCAGCACTCAGGAGGCTGAGGCAGGAGGATCGTTGTGAGTTTAAGGCCAGCCTGGTCTACAAAGTGAGCTCAAGGCCAGCCTGAACTGCATAGTGAGACCCTGTAGCAAAAAGACAAGAAAAAAACAAAACAAAAAAACCCCCAAAACACAAACAAAAGGAGGCATCCTGTAGGTAGACGTATTATTATTTCTGTACTTAAACATTTGAAAGTTTGCAGTACGGTAAAGAAAGACCTTACTTTAGCTCAGCTTAAATTAATTATGTAGAATTAATTATGAAAAGAAAATCCCGGGGGCTGGGGATTTAGCTCAGCGGCAAAAGCGCCTGCCTGGCAAGTGCAAGGTCATGAGTTCGGTTCCCGGTACCGGAGAAAAAAACCAAAAAAAAAAAAAAAAAAAAAGAAAATCCCTAGTTTCCAGAGTTCTATATTCTTCTGTTCTTTTTCCCCATAGAGTTTTGGCTTTTGGAACAGCAGATGAGGATTGTGAGCCAGTCCAGACTCACTCAAGGGAAGCTGGAATATGTCAAAAAGCAGGAAAAAAAGAAAAGAAAAAAATTGCCCAGGTTTTTACCATTCCAAGCGACCTTGGTACATTTAATTAAAGTCTGTTTTCTAGTCACAGGTACTTTTCCTACACATTTTTCTGTATAATGCTAATTAGTTTATGTGAGGAAACCACTGCATTCTGCTCCCTATAAATTATGTTTAAAAGCTTCAGAAAGCTGAAGAGGACAAAACCCCTCTAAAATTCAGGTTTTTTAAAAGGCAAAAAGGTCTAGTCCAAGTGGAATAAACTATACACATTGGGATGCTAAAATCAGGCTTCTGTTCTGAGTTCAGCTATGATTCAAAGGCTGACACACCAGGCAGTGGCAAAGGCCTCCATAGACTAAAGGAAGGTTCCAGAGCCCTTATGTCCTTCATGGGATGTGGGAATACAAACAAGC